ATTTGCTTTTTTTTTTTTTGGCCAGAATCCACAGGGAGAAAGGTGCTGTCTGCTAACTCTGACTGTACTAGGGACAGAACCTTAATCTCCGAAACAACCTTAAGGTACACACTACTACTAAACCTGATTTGGGGGAGAGATCAAGAAGCAAGAAGCAACCTATAATTCCCTCCTTAGGTCTACACTACCTAGAATGGTGGGTGGAATCAAACTCAGTGCTTTACACTGATTGGTAATAACCTTGTGCAAAAGTTTCTCTTTCTGGCCACAGAACAGCAGGACACATCTCCACAGCCTACGGCACCCAAGATGAGGGTACAGAGCCCTCCTAAAAGTTTTCCTGGGCAGAGAAAGAAGGGGTACAAGGGGAGCATAGCAGAGTCTTTGAGCAGATGGCCAAATGTGACCTTGGGGCAGCCTAACCTTCCAAAGAAAGCTATAAGTCTATATTTTTGATATGAAAATTTCTCTCCTATTAAAACTGATCAACTCATTTTTTCAGGCCACTTTCAGAGGCAAGTAAGACCTGTCACAAGTCAGGCTCAAACCCCTCTATGGAGGGCTGGGGATGTAGTTCAGTGGCAAAAGCCTTTGCCTGGCATGAGTTCAATCCCTGGTACCAAAAAGAATCCTGTCCCCATGGCAATGTGTGTCCTGGGGGCGGGGGTGAGCATCCTGGGGTCATTGTCCCACATGAATGTGACCCAGGTGGAAAGGGACCATGTTTGGGCATGGAGCAGCCCATCCCAAGATCCCTGATGGACCCCAGGAGATCTCACTGTCGAATCACACAATGGTTAAAACACCAGCTCTGGGTTTTAGGTCCCAGCTCTCTCCTTGCCAGTGTGTGCCAATAGGGGAGTTATTTAACCTTCTCACCTCAGTTTCCTCCTCTGAAAGGCAAAATTAAGAATCCTATACCTTAGGATCATTAATCATAAAGCACTTAGACTGGGTGTGGCTACAGTGACCACTGCTAGCAGTCAGCTACTGTCTGGCTATGTCTGACCTGACCCTGCAGCTCCCCATTTCCTTAAGGGCACCCTCAAACTCTTTTCTCTTACTTCTTCTTCTAGATCCATTCAGCACTCCTTAGTTAGGAGGAAAGAGCAGCCCAGAGGAGCTCAGCAAGTAGACGTGGGGCTTACTGGAGACAGAAAAAGAATTCAAAGGTGAAAGTCACACTAACAGAGAACACAGAAGTGGGGCTGAATGGAAGGCTTGGGATGATTTTTTTCCTCTACTTTTTCAGGGAAAATATCCTAATGGGGACAACAATGAAAGAGGCTAGAGAACGTGCTTCCCTGCACTAATATTAGCCCCCAAGACAGAGCTGCAGGAGTAGAGGGTCCCTGGCCTCTTCCCCACCACCTTCATCACTCTCAAAACCCTGGGTATGTGGAGGCAGGACCAGGAGAAGAGCTGCCAAATTGCCACATCTTCCACAACCCTGAGCCTGGATGTTTCTAGATTTTGTTTTCCAAGCTGACCTGGGCTGCTGCTGTGGAAAGCCAGCCACAGAGGAATCACTTTGATGGTCATTGTTTCCCCACTGCCTTTCTAAGCAAAGCTAGAACTTGTGTCTTTTCACCCATAAAGTCAAAGAAAAACTATCCTATCATTTTACAGGAGAAAGCAATGGGATCTAAGACTTACTCCAACCTCCCCTGCAGAAGGGTGGAAGCATCTTCACAGGAAATCACTGCACCACCCCAAGATTTCTTTGCATTTTTAGAGGTTCAGGGAGACATCTGGAATGGGCTATGTTGATATTGCAGCTATTAAAGCTGAACAAAAGACCCTTTCCCACGGCTGGCTGCTGCTTCGTGAATGTACCCATCCCTGCTCTCTGATTTGAGGGACTGAGCAGATGTTTCCCAGCAGGAACACAGGACTCCCAGATGCTGCTGTCTCAGTCACACATAACACACACGCATATGCACGTACACTCACTCACACGCAAGTACATACAGGCCCTGGGGCACACGTGCTCATCGTCCTCTGGCGTTTGGCACGCCCGCCCGGGCCATTTGTGACCTCGGGCTGCGGTTCTGACGGAGAGAGGAGCAGCGCTACGGACAGCCAATCAAATCCTGCCCTCTGTCTTCCTGTTGTCTCCTTGGTAACCGGCACGGGGACACACCAGCGAGCTGGGTATCACAGGGATACACGCGCGCGCACACACACACACACTTGCACACCCTCGCCCTCCTAACCGGCCCTGTTCCAGACACCTGCGTCGGTCAGCACCACGGACAGCACCCGCCGCTTCAGGCCCTGTGGCCTGGGCCGCCTCTCCCTATGGCCCACACCATTACCACCGTGCTCTGCTTCCGGGGCAGCCCAAGCCCTCGGCCAAGTCCTGAGAAGGCTCCCATCACTCAGTTCTCTCGCCCAAGGTCATCTTACTTCTTATGACCTGGACTCTGCGCGCGCCTACGTCACAGACCCCTACAGATCCAAACTTTTCTAGTTTCTCATTTCTAGACCAAATTCGACGTCATCTTGAGAGGTCTTCCCTGACCACGAGAGACCCCGTGTGGAGAAGCTCTCCCTGGCATGTCATGTCCACATGTGTGCGTGCTCATGATACTTGTCTCCCTCTCCAGAAAGTAAACTCTTCCTCAGCTCGTCCACATCTAAACCTGCAGCAGCTAGCTGAGGGCCCAGGAAATATCTGTTGAATGCGTGAAAAGTCTTCTCCCCTCACTGCTCTTTACTCAGTCTTTCTGTTTGGAGGGGACTTACGACTTTTGTGAGCTATGCTTCCTTCTCCACTAGTGTTCCAGTTGACTGCATAGCACACAGGGCAGAATGGAGGGAAGGCAGATTCTGCCTAGAACCTAGTTCCTCACCCAGGTGGCTGGATGTCCCCTGCTCCAAGAAGTCCCCCATAGGAATCTCACCACTTCTAATCCCATGTTCCCCAGCTCTGGGCACCCTGAAACTCTTGTTATTTGCAGGCTGGGGTGCATCTTTGTGCCACCCACAGACATCAACCAGATTCTGGAGTGAGGGGGCCCCCATGAAGCATGTGCTACAATGAGCAGGAGAACATACGTACTGTCAGCAGGAATACAAAAGCCAGCCTTCCCCAGAACACAGCCACACACACTTCCCAGAGCACTGTAAAGCAAGATTCCCAGGGTCCCCAGCTCTACAGCCCCAGGTGTCTATCCTGGGGTACACAGCCACTACTTCCAGCTCTGGACATTGGAGTTGTGCGTGCTGGCTGAGGATATCTATGGCAGCACGTTGCTCAGCCCACCTCCAGGGCAAGATTACCCAGGAGGCAATCATACTAGGGTCCTAGAACCTCATAATGGAGAGGACCTCATAGGCCTCCACAACATGGGAACTGGCCTGAGCCTAAGTTTCCCAAATCTGAATAAATCAGCTCTAACAATCAAGATAGGTAGCTGGGTTTGATGGGCACCTACTTTGTGCCAACTGCCTAGTATCTCAGCTCAGACCTGCAGGACAGCACTCCAGCTTCACAGGGAAAGGGAATCTCAGAAGTTAAGGTACTCATCCAAAGCCAGCCGGTAGACTCCAAGGGACTGGGATACACAGGAACCTGTTTGCCTGCCAACACCACCCAGGACAGGGCATGACTGAAACACATCTCACAGCCACTCCAAGACCCAGCCATGTGGGAAATCCCAGCCCAGGGAGCTGACTTCCCTGTGGTCCACGGAAAGTGGAGATTTTCTCTTTTAAACCAGTAATTTCCTGCTAGTGTGGGTGGATGGGCCAGCACCCTCTGATTTAGTGCTGGACTCAAGGATCAATCTCAACTCAGATTTTCCAAGGAAAGCCTGAGCACCTCCTGGAGCAAGATGTGGCCAGGGATAGACAACGCAATCATGGCTATCACAAGACCCCCTGCCTCATCCATGTCTCACGTACCTCAGGCAGCCATACATGCAGGTGCCTTGAACAGGTGAACCATATGCCCTCCTACACACATGATTCCCGCACCCACCACACAGGCCTTGGCACATGGCCCATGTGACCCGTCATACAGACACATGCACATGCACACACACATGCGTACACGCACGAGGGTGCTCTGTGTTACAAGGCCTCATTACTTCTTTCCTGGGGCCTTGGGAGAGAGCAGGGTACAGAAGTATCTGGCTTTCTGGAGGCTCATACTCAGGTGGAGCCTGTGGCCAGGGCTGGCTCTGCAGGGACCCTCACCCCCTCCCTAATCAAGCCAGGTGCCTCTCCAGGTCCCCTACACAGCACCATGGGAGTACCAGGAAACCCGTAGGCGTGCAGGGGCAGCACCTCAGCCTGCTAGGTCCTCTTAGGACACTCATAGGACAGGGGCCTTGCACAGCCCTGACATCAGCACCCACAGTCCTCTCACCATATACTGTAGCTTGGGCTGGAAGTGAATCCTTTACCCACAGATCCAAGGCCCAACCTAGGGGACCTGGAGTGAGGGGCCGAGAACACCAAGAGAGTTTTGGCGTCATTCAGGTTCTGCTTCTATCCCAGTTGTCCACCTGCAGGCTGTGTGACCTTGGGAAAGGGGCTCAGCCTCTCTGAGCAGGTCTTTCTCCGAGAAGTGGAGAGGATGCTGATGCGTGGATGTAAAGGTTAAAGACAGAGGCCGAGCTCCCGTCTGGCACATCGGATGTTCACAAATTACCAGGGTGCAAGGACAGGGTGAGGCTCTGTGGTAGTACCAGTCAGGGGGTACAGGACAGTGACAGGGACAGCGCTGCAGCAGGACCCACCAGGGGTTTGTGTGGGAAAGTTGGGCTCGGGTTCCCAGGTCCAATGCAGGCTGGGTAGGGAGTTGGGGGTGCAGGATGTGAGCGTTCCAAGGGTTCCCAGGTCCTGCGAGCTCGGCCCCTACCCCCTTCTAACCCCACATGCCCCTCGAGCCCTGAGGACCTTCAGGTTGCGCGTTCCCACCCCAGGGATCCCCACCCGCCGCTCCCCCCTGCCAGGAGCATCCTCCCCTCGCCCCTGTCCCCCACCCCTACCTTCGTCCGGCAGCCGCTGCAGGCAGAACGCGAGGTTGCGCCGCCAGCCCCGCATTCCCGGTCCCGGTCCCGGCGCACAGGGGACGGAGCCGGGCGCGGGGCGCAGGGGATGGGGCAGGGGACGGGACCAGGACGGGGACGGGACCAGGATGGGCTGGAGATGGGACCGGCCGGGAATGGGGACAAGAATCAGCAGTGGACGGGCCAGGTCCGCCCACCGCTGCCAGCCCGCCGCGCGGAAGCAAGCGGTGAATGAGCGCGCGGACGCGGCTGCGGGAGCGCGATGCGCGGCCGGGGTGGGACGAGCGGGAGATGAATGGGCCGCAGAGGCAGGAGGGCCGCGGGGCCGACCCCTCCCCGCAGCTGCAGGGCCGGGCAGAGGGAGCCCCGCACCCCAGTGGGGGAGCGTTGGGAAGCTACTGAGAGTGAGGCTTGGAGGGAGCCCCGTGTTTACTGGGTGTGTGTGTGTGTGTGTGTGTGTGTGTGTGTGTGTGTGTGTGTCGGGGGGGGGGCCTGTGATTGTGGCTGCTCCAACTGTGGTCCCTGAGACAGACTGGCAGGGACACACTAACTTCCCGTGAATCTTTTTGCTTCTCTTGAAATTTTTGATTATGTGCCCCACCCCCACCCCACGCCCAGGCAAAGGTTAACACCTTTAAGCAAGTGTATTTTACAATAATGCTAAGAAGTATTTGGCTGGGAGGTAGCTCGGGGACAGAGCACTGGCCACCTCACTAGTGGGCCACCCTGGTTTCCAACCCGTCAGTGGCCTCGGCTCCATTCAGTCCCTGGGTGCTTGGTGTCAGCCCTGTTTTTGAAACCTCTGACTCTTGACTGCAAAGCAGATCTCTTGGTGAGCCCATTGAGCAGATGAAGTCACGAACTAAGAGAGGCCAAGCTTCTCCTAAGCACATGCAGGCAGGAGCAGAACTGGTGTTGTAACCCAGATCTGCTCCAAGGCCCCCCGATGGCACTGTTCCCCCAGCCCGCACTTAGCACTTCCTCCCAAGACCCTCCTGGTTCTGTCCCCACTTGTACTGAGCCCAAATCATTAACCACAAGGCAGTAGGCCCAGGCCTGGGCCAAGAAAGGCAGGGCGGCCATGGTCTGCAGAGTGCTGACTGGGAGCTTGTCTTAATGGCCGCAAGTTCTGACTAGGAAGCCAGGGTTTCCTGGCAGTGGAACTGCAGATAAAGCTGCCTGCACCCAGATTGATGGCCCCACAGAAGGATGCCCACAGTGAGAGGGCTGGAACTGCTGCCTGAAGGGAAAGAAGAGAACCAAAGGCCCTGTGGTGCCGGGTGGAGTCTGATGGGGCTCCCAAGCCTCCAGGCAGGAGAGTAGATGGACACGGGGTGAGAAAGACACACAGACCCTAATCCTGGGTAGAATCGGGGTACAGAGGGGCTGTCCCAGCTCGCCAGTGCCTGAGGCCCCTGCTAAAGGACTCCAGTGTGGGATGCCAGGGTTTGGTAGCCAAGGCCTGGAGCCCTGGCACCTGTCTTCTCAAGCCTTTACCATGGCATCCACACATATCCTGGGCTTCCTCACAGTATGGCAGCTGGGGGGGCAATTCAACCTCCTCCACGGGGCTCAGACTCCAAGAGTGAGTCATATGAGCTGAGAGTCTCGTCCCTTATACGAGCCACCCTTGGAATCATTGTTTTTGGTCTCCTCTATTGGATGAAGCAGTCATGGGCTTCATGTATTTCAGGGACAGTGGCAGTCTCCATTTGTCATAGGAAAGGGTTCATTACTATTTTATTTTTTGTTTTGTTTTTGGTACTGGGACTTTCTAGATAGTTCAGGCTAGCCTTGAACTCACTATGTATCCCAGGCTAGCCTCAAACTCATGGTGATCTTCTCAACTCAGCCTCTTCAATCCTGGGATTACAGGTGTCTGCCACCACCCCTGAATTTCACTGTTGTTTTAGAAACATATGGTGGGGGGCAGGGAGAGGAAGCAGAAGGGGAGGAGGAGTAACAGGAAGTGGTGTTGATGGCAGAAGGAGAAGTGGATTGCAGGTAACAGGAGGAGGCTGGAAGAAACAGTCCCTAGAGATAAACACAGAAATAGGAAAAAGAGAAATGGAGGGAGGGTGATGCTAAGAATGCTAACAAGAAAAATCATAGCAGAGGAATAGGAAGAACTGTGGCAGGAGCAGGAGGATTAAAACAGGAGGCTGGTGATTTGGTAGGAGGAGTAAGAGAAGTAGCAATGGAAGACCAATATTCGGGGATGTCTTAGTTGGCTTTCCGCTATTGTAGCAGATGCCTGAGGACAGTAACTTATAACAAAAGAAGGTTCATCTTGGCTTACATGCTGGAGGTATAGTCCAACAAGGCTGGCCCTGTTACTTTTGTCCCTGTGCAGAGGCTGTGCATGATGGCAGAAGCCCCTACGGGATGGTCTATGTCCAGATGGCCCCCAAAGCCTCCTGAGCTCAGAAGCAGGTCATTTGGAGGAAGACTGGACCATGGAGATGGTAGATAAATGTGCTGTTGGGGGCGAGGCATGGAAGGAAGAGGCAGTCACTAGGGCCCGACCAGGAAAAGTGCATCTCCCTCCTTCCCTTCTCTGCTCCCTGGCTTCAATGATGTGAGCAGCTCTCCTCCTCCAGGTCCTTCCACCATGCCTTCCTGCCCAAATTCCCAGTGGCTCTGACTGTGGAAGATGTTAGGCTTTTGACCATGCAAGATGTTAGGTTTTGCATGCACTGAGCTGGGCTGGGCATGGGTTAGGCAGAGTGGGTTCAGAACACTTTTGGCTCCAGATATGCTTCCCTCCGGATGGGTACATCTAGCCACCGCCCATTCAGCGACTGAGGCGCATCTGTAAGAACAGGCATAGGGTGGCAGGAAGAGCCATAAGTAGGACAGGGGAAGCACAACAGTTATTGGGACAATGACAAGGAGAAAAAGAACAACAGGTACCAGCTGTCTGGCCTTGAGCTCATCTCCCGCTGTGTGGCCTCCAGTGACTTTCTGACCTGTGCTGAGAGTCTCTGATGGGAGCAGTGATGCTGACATCCCAAAGGGGCAGCCAGTGAGGGGCCTGGGGAAGGACAGGCTAAGCCCACACCTGCCTCGGTAGTGGCCCCAGTGTGCCCGGAACACCTCACCCTGGGCTCATCTTGTATGCCTTGGGAGCTGGCAAGGGGCCGTAACACTTGGTGTTCTCAGGAGCTAGATCAGAGTGGGAACTACGCTCGGCCAAGTCATGGGCCATGGTGGGCAGCTTCGGGCCCCAGCACTTGAGAGACAAGGACAGAGCCCTGGAACTTGGAGCTCAGTTGCACGGATGAGGCGCATGACTGGGTCCAAGATGGTAGCAATGAGAGAACACATTATTACTAGGTATCTTTTGGGTTTTGGGTTTGGGTTTTGGAATCAAAGCGAGGAATTGTACTGGCACTTAATGTATGGATTAAGGGTATATGGGTATCTAAGCGGCATTTGGAAACACATCTTATTCTGGAGTGGAGGGCAGTCCCACATCCTGCCATCACTCCCAGGTCAGCCCCAACTCTGTCCTCCCACTGCCAGTAGTCACCAAGGAAGATGTCCTGGGTCGTGTCTTTGGAGCATAGTTCAGCCAGGTAACAAGTGAGGACTGGGCTGAGGCTCCTGCCGACCTTCCTGTCACCAGTCCTGGGCATGGCTATGGCTGCAAACCTGTGTCTCCTTCAGAGGCCCACTTGTTCCCACCTCGTGGGTGGCTCAGAGGCCCCGACACTCCAGCGGTGGGCCTGGTGAGGAGGACTTGTTCAATGACGACAATTCCCACGGTGAGCTTCTTAGTAGAAATTGTGGGAGGTGGAGGATGCATTTAGATGCCACAGGGAACGGCCAGCCTGAGATTACGTAGGCGGGGACAGCGCCCTTTAAAATGAAGGTGAAAGAAAAACAGCTGGATGAATGTTCCTCACTCCCACAGTGCCAGGCAGAGGCTGGGGGTTCTCTAGGCAAAGCGGAAACAATCCTGTCTGGGAAATTGCATACAGCAAGGAACGGAGGTAAATTTGGGTTAAACTGAAATGAAACTTGGTTCAGCTACAGTAATGTCTTCTGGGGTTTGAACACTGCACAGTTCAAATGCATGACAACAGCAGGAAAGCTGGGGTGGGTGGAGCTGAAGTCCACACTGTCCGAGCTGCTCCTATTGTGATGCAGTCACACACTTGCAGGGGCTCGAATGCGCCAGAGATGCTGCTGTGACATTAAACCAAACATGGGACAATCAAGGAAGGCATAGGCGACAAATCCAGGGTATGGAACAATAAAAGGTACTTCTTGATTATACTGAGATTAGGAAAAGAAGAAGGAAACTAAACAAAAAATGGGGGAACAGATAGAAAAAACAGCAAGATGGTAAATGTATAATAGAATCCACCCTGCAAGTATTTTTATCTTATTATTATTACTTTTGCAGCGCTGGGGTTCTAGCCCAGGGCTATGTGCTCTACAGCCAGTGCTTAACCATTGGGCTGCACCCCAGCCTCTCAATACATGTTTTCAAACATCAGGACCCAAGGCACACATGTCACTAATGCTAAGATTCTGCCACTGCATGGTTTAAGAGAGATTTAAAGGAGAGAGAAAGAGACATTGGTCATGTCCTGTTGGGATTGGAGGGAGGCCTCATGATGCAGGTGGCATTGGATTGTGCCTTCCACTACCGGAAAGACTTTTGCAGGAGGTGGAGCAGGCCCACAGGAAGCAGAGGCAGGAGAGTTCTTGGTCTGGAACAGTTGGAAGGAATGGAACATTTGTATATGCAAATCAGGGGAGAGCACGATCAAGTATTCCAGGTCCCCAGATATCAACTCCTCTGTTCCTACCAAATCCACCAGGATGAGCTGGATCCTGGGCTCAGCACCCGGGGTGCCCTCTGTGTGGCAATGGTGAACAGGAGACACTGGCCCACCCAGTGACTCTCAGGCTCATCCCAGCTGTGTGTCTCCAGGGCCTGGGTGTCATGTGGGGCCCAGAGAAGACCAGCTCTGGGCTGGTAGAAAATCCTTCAGGTAGGTTAAGTTCTGGGTCATCCTAAGGGACACTTGTGTCCTATGGCTGGGTGTGGATTCCACTTTTTAGTTGAACCAGAAAAGACCCTGGTGATGTCCCCATTGGCACACATCTCTGTGATGGCCAAAGCCTAGGAGGCCCCTGGGACACACCAGTAGCTGCAGCAACGTCGCCAAGTGGGAGCGTGAGTGCTTGCTCGTGCTCAGGTCTCCTGCAAAGGGACAGAAGCTCTTGGTCTCTGCCTGCAATGCCCATT